TTTAAGTTTTATTCAATTCATAAATGAGTATTATTTTATAATTAAACTTTAAAGATAAAAGACATAACTACCAAGTCAAGTAACTAGAAGTAACTTAAAGAAAAAAATCAAACTATAGTTTTGTTTTGTTTTTACTTTTTAATCTTTCATTTTTTGATTCATTAATTTAGACAGGGTCTTGCTAGGCAGCTGTGTGTGTGTGTGTGTGTGTGTGTGTGTGTGTGTGTGTGTGTGTGTTTTGGGTTTTTTTTTTGGCAGAACCGGGGATTGAACTCAGACTCTTGCGCTTGCCAGGGAAGCACTTGTTCTACTGAGCCATCTCCCCGGCCCCTGTCTTGTTTTTAAGAGAAGAATAAAAATAAAGGGCCAGCCAAATAGCTCAGCAGATTAAAGCACCTGCAAGCAGGCGCAGGGGCTGGGGGTTCACCCCCAGGATCTGCTGCACCAGCCCTGTCCCCGCGGGGCACTAAAACAGCGATTAAGACTGGGCATGATGGCACACACCCGTAATCCCAGCTCTTGGGCGGCTGTAAACAGGAGAATCACTGCAAGTCCGAACTGGCAGTGAGACCCTGAATACCTTGTAGACCCCTCCCTAAAATACAAAAATAAATACATACATACATAAACACATAAAAATAGAAATAAAATAAAAGGGAGTTTCAAATCAGGCTAACAGGAGAGTCACTAAGGATACGTACGGAACACAAGCACATCTGCATTTCATCCTTGCCCGGGGACCGAGCTACATCTGCACTAGCAGAATTTCAGCCTCATGCAATTATCCCCCCAAATACAGGAGCAATATTTAAAAGAAGATAGTATCTGGCCACAGTTGCTCAAAATAACAGCCACAACAAATACTTTGCACTTCATACAAGGACAGTAACAATATCAAAGTGGCAGTGCTGCGCAGCGCTTTCCTATGCACTGTTCATTAAGACAGGAAAACTCGATGTTGCTACACTTATGGTGAAACTGACTTTTTTTTTTTTGCGGATCCGGGGATTGAACTCAGGCCCATGTGCTTGCCAGGGAAGCACTTATCCCACTGAGCCATCTCCCCAGCCCCTGAAACTGACTTCTTAGGAAAAAGTGTGTCCCTCCTTAAACCATGTCCCAGTTGTTTCTTCCCTCTACTCCTGTAAAATTATAATCAAGTTAGCATGGTCAATATAGAGAAATACTTGAGTATCCTGGAATATAAAATCTAAGTTCTTTCTACCTTCAGAATACTGCACAGATGAACATTAGGGGGAAAACCTTCTGACCCCTCAAAACAATTTTGTAAAAAGAGCAGATAGCCTGGAAAATAAGTACTCAGGGTTTTATTCCTAGCCAATTTGGAAGAAAAGCAGGAAAGGAAAGCCAGCCAGTCTGACTGTGGGATAAAGCTATTTGATTTGCTGAGACACCAAAATTATGTGGAAGTCAAATGACAAAAGACAGGTGGTCCAAAAAGAAATGCGGTCTGATTTGCTACGTTCCCCCAAGACATTCAAGAAAGCAAATCTCTGCCTTGCTCCTTCCCTTCTATTTCCAGTCACATTAAAAGTGTTTTAGAAGAGCAGGAGCAGGGCCAAGGCATGACATCCCACGTAGCAGCTTTAACCCAGTTTATGACTCTTAACTTAGAATGAAAGTTTCCAGTTATCTAAAATAGTGAAATCCAATATTATCCTACAAACTGATGAACTATCTAAAAAACAACCAAACATTATTTACTACTTGAGGCTAAGGCAGGCAGACTGAAACTTCCAAGCCAGTCTGAACAACTTAGCAATACCCTGTCTCCAAATGAATTTTTAAGGGATAAAATGTAGCTCAGTCCCTGGGTTCAGTTCTAGCGCATGCACACAAATGAACAGTACAACTTTGAAAATCATGACAGTTTTAGTGTACATGAGATTTTGCATATATGTCTTTATAATCTTTCCACTGAGTTTGTTTTCTCAAATTTAAAAATTAAGTCTATCTCCTTTTTCCTACCTCAATTTCCAGTTAATGGCATGGTAAAAGCAAGCATAATCTTACTTTCAGCTCTGCCATAAAAGAGCTTGCTGGACTTGGATCAAGTGTCGAGGTCTAAAATGTGTAATGCGTGTCATGAAATAGGAAGGAAATGTTCAAATGGGATGGGAAACTAGGGAGGGGGAAAGGAAGGATTGAAAAGAAAAATGAGAGAAGAAATGGAAACAGCTTTTGCAAACGGGGGGGAAGAGGAGTTA